TTAAGTAACAATAGTCTGGAATGTGTATAGGGATTGGATATGTTGGGGGGGGGTACCCCTCGGTCTCATTTCTTGCTGGGTATAAAATATTCCCAGACGACCATTGATAATGATTCGTTGGGTAGTCAGAATCATTGGGTCTGGTATCCAGACTGTATTGAATGAACTTAACCAATGTGTGTGAGTGGATGAGTGTATGTTTTCTGTACTGTAACTGTATCACGTACATACGTACTGCACTGTTGAGTCGTGATGTGATATGCAAGTGGCTAGCCGTCCTTGCTTCGTCCTTGGGGCACATGATCAATTATCAAATTTGCAGCCAGTGAGGATAATAATCAAGAACAAATTTGCTCGGATCGACCATGGACATAGAAATAAACCAGGGTAAATTAGAGCCATTGAATAAAGGCAAGGAATCATAATGTACATAGGCAGTACACGAGTACATGTAAGTATAAGTCGGCAAAATGAGGACTTACAGCACAAGTTGGCATTTGCGTAAGTCGTCATAATTTCTTGAGTCCTGAGAGTGCCGACTTAGCCGGAGTTTACTGTCTTGGCACAAAAACAATGTCTGCATTATACTAATACACATTTTTATTTCTATGCTAGCACAGATTTATTTTGTCTTAAGGTCCAATGTAAAAAAGGTTGTCTGTGACACATTTCTGCAACACAAATGCTGACTCATTCTGGCCCTTAAGTCTCCAACACTACAATTTCTGATGGAATTTCAGGCTCTTCATGGTGAAAGACAGCAACAGGTGGAAGGGCTTGCGGTAGCATCATGTGAAGGAATATATCTCGCTTATGAGTATGTGTGGTTCTGACGTCTCCTGACGACGGCCTGAGCACGCAGTCCGAAACGTTGAGTATACTCCCGGTTCTCTTCAGAACCACACATACTCATAAACGAGATATATTCCTTCGCACGGTGCTACCGCAAGCCTTTCCACCTGTTTCAACAATTTCTGTCTTCTGAAGCTTTACATATCACTCCAGAACAGTCTCCAGATGGTGTACCTCAAGGCATCTTTTGTTTCTGAATGATCGGTGCTGCCAAACACACATATACAACACATACATGTATATACAACATATTTGTGCACATTCAATTGAAAATTCTCAGTGCTAACACCATGCCATTCATGTATGAAGCAGTGCACAGAATTCATTTGCTTTATTCACACTTCTACTAAAGTGAAACTCACGTAAATATAGTGTAGGCCTCCGCCTGTGCTGGATCTTTGATGTTCGGCTCATCAAGCAAAGCTTGTATCCCTGTAAGAATCTAGAAAATAACAACATGATTGGAAGACCTTCTGACCAATAGACTTTATTCTTAGAGAAGCCATTTTTGATAGTGCTCCCTGAATCTATCACATTCAATGTTATCTGGTCAATTGGAAGGTGCCAGACTATTATGGGTTCCAAGCCTTACTGTCAGTTTCTTTTTAACCCCTTCGCACCGGGACACAGATAGAGCCGCCATAAAAATTGAGATCCTCAGCCCACTTTTCAGCTATTATTCTAGGCCCACGCTCGAGCGAACGTGGTGTAAAAAGGCAGACCCTGGCTCTTGTATATAT